GCAGGTCTTGAAGTATCGGCTTGTTCGCTTGCTTCTTCGTTGGCGCTTTGGAAATTTTTAATTTTGGCCCAAATGCAGCAAAAAGCGTCTTCATTGCTGACTTTACTTGGGATTTCGTTAAGTCGTCTTCATTTTCTGATTCTGGCTCTTCCGAAGAGTTTGAATCCTCCTTTTCACTTTCGTTGTCTGATAACGTTTTTCGCGCCAGAAATTTTGAACTGAGCATTTTGATTGGCTCTGCTTCGCTCACTTTGGAGGCTTGTTGAAACCAAGATGGCTGCCATTCAAAATTTCGCGCGGGATCACATTTTTTCTTTTTCATAACGACTTTCTCTGTAGTCATATCACTCACAGTTTTTTGGTCTTTGGGTTTCTCTTTAGCGATGTTTTTCTCTCTCGCTGCTCCGCTGTTCTTCAGCATTTCTTGGAGGTTCGCGATGAGGCTTTCATCATTCTTCTGGCTTTTTAATAACTTCAGTATCTCTGACCTGAGTTCGTTATTTTCTATTTCGATTTCCTCCTGGCCATCATTTTCATTTATTAATTCTTCTTCTTCAGTGGTGTATTCTTCGGATTCTCTCGAAATCGCGTTTGTGGATTCGTTGATTATTTCTTGTTCAGTTTCTATTTCTTTGCTGTAGGCCCTGGTGTTGGGCCTATCTTTCTTAGACATTTTTAGGTATTTATTGAGTCAATTAACCATCCTCTGCTACCAGTTTGTTGCAATATTTTTAGGATCAGACTCAATAATAATAATGAGAGTTAGAGGTTTAAATATATTTCTCTTTAATTATAATAGGCATTCTATATTCACTGAATATTCACAGATAGAAGCAAAGAAAATGGTGAAGGTGGCTCCTTATATATACAAAGGGTGGAGCCAAGAGTGGGAGTGGTGAATTATGAATACATTAAGAGTCAAAGAATAAGTTAACCCCTGATATCCCATATATACATTATTTACACATTAGGGAATAAGGCATTTACATCTGACAGTTACTAATCCCGCAAACTCCCGAAACATGCGATTGGCGTGTATTATACGGCGTCCGTGGCATCGTCTACAACTTTCTTCCCAGCTTTTTCGGTGTTGGCAATGGGACGGTTTAAAGATGCGCTGAATTTTGTCATTTTGTAGAAAAGGGCATTCAAGACTGTGTTGAGCTAAAGAGCAATGCTTCTTAATTTTGAAGACGCGTGGACTTCAATTCCCAGCATTCCCCCTACTGGCTGGGGAATTCTGAGAGTTGAAGTGCCATCTTAAAAGTTCCGGAGGTTGAGAAACACTGTTGGTGGAACATTTGCTCCATCTAGTGGCCGTTTCTGGAATAGGAATCTGGTCCTTTGAAAGTAGAAAGAGGTTTGAGCCTCTTGTCAGTTGGAGCCCGAAATCTGAATGGTTGGTTAAATTTTTCCAGGTGGAATATAGACTCCCCAAATTCAACGAGACACTCCAAACATTTGTGTGGTTGTGCTTGTGATTGTGTGCAGCATTTCAGTGATGTTCAGTTTTTAACCTATCCAAATCACTCCTTGAATACAAATTATTTTCATTTCTTTAACTAACCGTCATTTCCCACTCTTCCCTACCTCGTCGCCAAAAAAAGAAAGAATTGCAGGAAACGTTGGGGCAGATAGAAATGCAGGCAGTCCTCAACTTACGACTACAATTGAGCCCAAAATTTATGTTGTTAAGTGAGAAATGGGTTAAAAAGTGAGTTTTGCTCCTTTTTTACAACTTTTCTCACCATAGTTAAGTGAACCACTGCAGCTGTTAAGTTAGTGACATGGTTGTTAAGTGAATCCAGCCTTCCCCGTTGCTTGTCAGATGGTCGCAAAAGGGAATCACGTGTCCCCAGGACACTGTGACTGTCATAACTATGAGTCAGTTGCCAAGGGTCTGAATTTTATTCAAGTGAGCATGGGGGTGCTGCAACAGTCATAAGGGTGGGAAATGATTCTAAATCGCCTTTTTCAGTGCTGTGGTAACTTCGAAAGGTCACTAAATGAACTGTTGTAAGTCGAGGACTACCTGTAGATCAGTGTTTCTCAACCTTGGAAGCTTGAAGATGGGTGGATTTCAACTCCCAGAATTCCCCCAGCCAGCGCTGCTGGCTGGGGGATTCTGGGAGTTGAAGTCCACCCATCTTCAAGCTACCACGGTTAAGAAATACTTCTGTAGATGCTTCTAATGGAGAAATTCTACTCCTCTTTTTCTTGCAAAGAGAGATGATCCTGCTCAGTCGTTTAAAGAAGATCTATTTATTGCTGTGCAAGAAAGATAGACCAATATACAGCTAGTCCTTGACTTACGACAGTTCGTTTAGTGACTGAAGTTACAACGGCGCTGGAAAAAAGACTTATGACCATTTTTTGCCGCATTCCCATGTTCAAGTGATTTACATTCGGATGCTGGACAACTGACTCATCTTTATGACGCTCGCAATGTCCCGGGGGTCACATGATCCCCTTTTGCGACCGTCTGACCAGCCAAGTCAACGGGGGAAGCCAGATTCGCTTAACGACCGTGTGGTTCGCTTAACAACAGCAGGGATTCGTTTAACCACCATGGCGGGACAGGTTCTAAAATGGAAGACCGCTCACTTCATCACTGTTTCACTTAGCAACAGAAATGTTGGGGTTCAAGTGTGGTCATAGATCGAGTAATAGCTGAATTTCTCCTTTAGGTTTAGAGCTGTTTGAATAACCATTTTAATTCATTGTGATGAATTGTTTAATCTTTTTTTTTTATTCCTTTTGCACTACTATAAATTCATGAAAGAGAAGAGGCTGGGGCTTTGAATGCACAGTTACAAGCTGGCATCTTGTCTGTTTTGACACAAACGCACATCAACAATCTACCAACTGTCCTCGATTTATAAAAATTCACTTAGTGACTGTTTGAAGTTCCAACGGCACTGAAAAAAGTGACTTAGGACCGTTTTTCTCACTTATGACCGTTGTAGCATTCCCACCGTCGTGTGATCAAAATTCAGACGCTTGGCAACTGGCATGTACTTATGACGGTTGCAGAGTCCCGCAATCCCCTTTTGCAACCTTCTGACCAGCCAAGTCAACGAGGAAACCAGATTCATTTAATGACCATGTTACTCATTTAAGAAGTGCAGTGATTCACTTCTGTTCTGACAGGACCGATCTCACTTCTCCAAAACTCCTGTGGGTTTACGGTGTTCCGGCAAAACTCCGCTCCTAACACTATCTGCTCCCATCTTCTTCTCTCCCCGGCTCTTTGTTGGTTTATCGCAGCCTCGAGTCTGCCATTTCAAAATGACAGACATCTTCGCGCTGAGTTAACAGAGACGTCCGTTCGAGCGGCAGGCACTCGCCCCACGCTTTGCCGCTCTCTAGACTCCCTCTCTAGTTCGCAATGCCCAAAACACGAAAAAATCCGGGGTTGAAGAGTAGCAATCGCTCTCCTTCCACCGTCTCACCACGAATTGCCAACCGGAAGTTCCAGGATTCACTTAACAAGGGTGGCAAGAAAGGTGGTAACATTCGCTTAACGTCTGTTTCACTTAGCAACGGGGAATTTGGGCTCCATTGTGGCCGTACGTTGAGGACTACCTGTACAACTTCGTTATGTATAATAATTTTCCTTTTTTGGTATCCTGGACTGCTTCCAAGATTGTGTGACTATCAGTGGTGGGATTCAAATAATCTAACAACCGGTTCTCTGCCCTAATGACCAGCTGGGTAGGCGTGGCTCAGTGGTCATGTGACCGTGTGGGCGTGACCAATTCAACATCACTCACGTCTATGGGCGCTTCGCCTTAGCTGTTACAATGTAATAAGGGTTAAGCAGAGAGGCAGTTTCTGTAAGCAGGACAATAAAGATTAGGCTAGAGATACCACCAGAATGTTTCCTTCCTGCCTTCCTTACAGGATTAGCCCTGTAAAGTGGAAAAAAAACAAAATATGATTTCTTCTAACAACCGGTTCTCCCGAATAGATGCGAACTGGCTGAATCCCACCACTGGTGACTATAGATATATAGATAAATATATGACATCAGGCCATATTTGAAAGAAATATTATATTCCAAAATGTGTTTAGGTTTGGTATATATTCTGAGCTCTGTTACATATTTAAGAGATATTACGCCATTTATTATGGGTTTTATATTTTGTAGCATTCCTAACTTTTTGTAATTAATAACCTTTGATAAGAAAATGAATAAAACCGTTGACACAACAATCTTGTATCGCCAAATTGCCTTTAAGATCTTGAAGCAAATTCAAATTTCCCTTAGCAATAGCAGCTGGGGTGATTGTTACGTCTGTCCTACAGGTAATTCTTGATTTATAATTCATTTAGCAACCATTGAAAGTGTCCGCGGTACTGAAAATAGTGATTTACAGCTGGTCCTCACACTTATGACCATTGCCGCATTCCTATAGTCACGTGATTAAAATGCGAGCCATGGGTCCGTGTATTTACGACGGTTCGACTGCCACGTGATCTCTATTTGTGACCCTTCCAGCCGGCTTCTGACAAGCAAAGCCACTGGAGGAAGCTGGGTTCGCTTAATGACTGTATGATTCATTTAACGACTTCAGTCATTCGCATAGCAACCATGGCAAAAAAGAAAAAAAAAAGGTCAGAAAAATCAGGTGCAACTTATTTAACAATCTCCTTGCTTAGCAAGGGAAATTGTGGTTCCAATTGTGGTTGTAAATCGAGGACCATTCTGTGGAGATGCCGTCCCATAATCTTGCCAAACGATGGCATGCTGAAACTGGATCGAAAAGGAATTGCTTGCGATCTATATGCCTCTTTTCAGCCATTTCCTTTGGTTCCGGATCAGAATTCTCTCCAAACTTGGTAACTTTAAGGCAGGTGTGGACTTCAGCTCCCAGAATTCCCTAGTCAGCTTGCCAGCAGCCATGTTGGCTGGGGAATTCTGGGAGTTGAAGTCCACCCATCTGAAATTGGGGAAAAAAAACATTATTTTAAATCTTGGTTTTTCCGTTCTTCCCCAGTCTGTGGAAAACCCAAATTTTCCAGAAGCTCGCTGGCCCGGATCATCCAAGGACGATATGCCCAGAGAGGAATTTCCCCATGGATTGCCATGCTCCAAAGGAACGGACGCCCCTTCTGCGGAGGGTCCCTCATAGGTAAGAGATTTCCAGGTTATATTACGCCAGCAGAACAGAGGGTGGGGGGGAACACCAGGAAGGGGGGGGAGGCTGAAATACAGGTAGTCCTAGACTTAAAACCATTCATTTAGTGACCGTTCAAAGTTGCAACGGCATTGGGGAAAAAATGACTTAATTAAGAGCGTTGTTCGCACTTATGACCGTTGCAACTGCCCCATGGTCACCTGATCAAAATTCAGATGCTTGGCCGCTGACTCGTACTTACGACGGTTGCAGCATCCCGGGATCGCATCATGATCCCCTTCCGGCAAGCAAAGTCAACGGGGAAGCCGGATTCGCTTAACAACCGTGTGACTCACTTAACATCTGCGGTGATTCACTTAACAGCTGCGGCGAGCAAGTTTGTAAAACAGGGCAAAACTCCCTTAACAAATGTCTCGCTTAGCGACAGAAATGTTTGGGCTGAGTTTTGGTCGTAAGTTGAGGACTACCTGTAGTGTGCATCTCCCCTCTGGCTGTGTCCTTCAGGTTTATGACGGTTGCGGAGTCCCTGATCCCCTTTTGCGACCTTCCACCCAGCCAAGGCAATGGGAAAGCCGGATTCGCTTAACGACCATGTCACTAACTTAACATCTGCTCAATTAATTCACTTAACAAGGTGGCAAGGAAGGTCATGAAATGGGGCAAAACTCACTTAACAACAGAAATGTGGCGCTCAATTGTGGTCGTAAGGCGAGGATGACCTGTCCCGGAGATCTGGATAGGAGAAACAGCACCGAGAGGTTCAAAAACCGGATTTGCAACCCCAAATTTCATTGGGGGCAAGGTTGCTGATCCAGAGAAGGGAAAGGCGGCTCTAGATCAGGGGTGGGATTCAGCCAGTTTGCACCTATTCGGGAGAACCGGTTGTTAATTTTCTAAGCAGTTTGGAGAACCGGATGTTGGAAGAAATCTTATTTTGTTCTTTACAGGGCTAATCCTGTAAGGAAGGCAGGAAGGAAACATTCTGCTGGTGTTTCTAGCCTAATCTTTATTGCCCTGCTTACAGAAACTGCCTCTCTGCTTAACCCTTGTTACATTGTAACAGCTAAGGCGAAGCGCCCATTGATGTGAGTGATCTTGAGTTGGCCATGCCCACACGGTCACATGACCACTGAGCCACACCTACCCAGCTGGTCATTAGGGCAGAGAACCGGTTGTTAAATTATTTGAATCCCACCACTGCTCTAGATGTTGTGTTTCGTATTTTCCAGGCAACCGGTGGGTTGTGACAGCCGCTCACTGTCTCCATGAGGAACTGGATCCCGAAAATCCAGTTTTCCGAAATACGGATGTGATCAGCCCGTCTTCCTTCACCGTTATCTTGGGTAAGCGGTCGCTCTGAAACAAACCAGGTTTGCAACTCAAGGATGGAGAGGGACTTTGGCAGGTCCTCCTTGATTTACTACCGTTTCATGGCATTGAAGAAAATCCCTTAACATGTCCGCCAAATGTTGGAAATGTAATCAGACACTGGGTTCGTATTATCACATGTGGTGGACATGCCCAAAGGCAAAAAAAAATTGGACAAAAATACGGTACATCCACGGTTAGAAAAAAATGGTAAAGCAACATATAGACCTAAAACCAGAAATATTCTTGTTGGGTATTCTACCAGAAGAGTACAATAAAGGAAATACATATTTAATTTTACAGATATTAACTGTGGCGAGAATTGTGTTTCCACAACACTAGAAAAACGAAGAAATCCCTACAGAAGAAAGTGTAATTAAAAAAATTACTAGAATGTGCAGAAATGGATAGATCAACACTTAAAATTAAGGAGAAGGAAGAAACAGAATATTTTTTAACATGGGATTCATTTTATCAATGGCTAACTAACAGAAACAGAAGTTAGAATTTTAAAAGTTTAGGAGTATGATTAATTATATAAGGAAGGTTGATTGAAATTGCAAATATTATTATTATTATGTGATTATTATGTTACGAATACTATTGTTGCTATTATTATTATTACTATTTCTCAAAATGTTTGGAATACTGTTACTATTATTATTATTATTTGCAAAATTAACTGTACTCAGATAACATACTGTTCATGTCAACATTGAATTTTTTATATTTAGTAAAAAAATGTATAAATAAAACATTTTTTTTAAAAAAAGAAAGTCGCTGGCCACCGGTCCTCGCAGTTATGACCATCTCGGCCTCCTTTCCATGGCACTGAAGAAAGTCACTGGCAACCGGTCCTCACAGTTACGACCGTCTCAGCCTCCTTTCCATGGCACTGAAGAAAGTCACTGGCAACCGGTCCTCACAGTTATGACCGTCTCAGCCTCCTTTCCACGTCACTAAAGAAAGTCACTGGCCACCGGTCCTCGAGTTATGACCGTCTCAGCCTCCTTTCCATGGCACTGAAGAAAGTCACTGGCAACCGGTCCTCACAGTTATGACCGTCTCAGCCTCCTTTCCATGGCACTGAAGAAGGTCATTGGCAACCGGTCCTCACAGTTATGACCATCTCAGCCTCCTTTCCATGGCACTGAAGAAAGTCACTGGCAATCGGTCCTCGCAGTTACGACCGTCTCAGCCTCCTTTCCATGGCACTGAAGAAGGTCATTGGCAACCAGTCCTCACAGTTATGACCGTCTCAGCCTCCTTTCCATGGCACTGAAGAAAGTCACTGGCAAACAGTCCTCGCAGTTATGACCATCTCAGCATCCTTAGGATCAAAATTGTGATGCTTGGTATCTGGCACATATTTATGATGGTCGCAGGGCCCTGGGGTCATGTGATCCCCATTTCCAGGGGGGGGCTTCTAATAAGCGAAGTCAAGGGAGGGGAGCGAGATTCACTTAACAACCGTGATAAAAAAAGGATAGTAAAATCAGGCCCAACAATCGCCTTGCTGAGCCACCAAAATTCAGGTCCTGGATTTGGGGTGATGGAAACTCATCAAGGAGAGAAGCAACCTGGAACTAAGGAGAAACTTCCTGACAGTGAGGACAATTAACCAGTGGAACAGCTTGCCACTAGAAGTTGTGGGTGCTCCATCATTGGAGGCTTTTCAGAAGAGACTGGGCAGCCACCTGTCTGAAATGGTATTGGATCTCCTGCCTGAGCAGGGGGTCGGACTAGATGACCTCCAAGGTCCCTTCTGACTCAATTCTGCTGCTATTCTTCTTCCAACCCCCTCTCCCAAGTTGTAAATGCTCCAACACTGGAAGTTTTTAAGAAGAGATTGGACAACCATTTGTCTGAAACGGGATAGGGTTTTCCTGCCTAAGCAGGGGGTTGGACTAGAAGATCTCCAAGGTCCCTTCCAACTCTGTGATCCTAATTTATTTATTTAATTTAATTTAATTTAATTTAATTTAATTTAATTTAATTTAATTTAATTTAATTTAATTTAATTTAATTTAATTTAATTTAATTTAATTTAATTTAATTTAATTTAATTTGTATGCTGCCCTTCTCCGGAGACTCAGGCTTACAATGCGTTAAGCAATAGCCTTCATACTTTTTGTATATTTTTATACAAAGTCAGCTTATTGCCCCCACAATCTGGGTCCTCATTTTACCTACCTTAGAAAGGATGGAAGGCTGAGTCGACCTTGAGCCTGGTGAGATTAGAACTTGCAGTAATTGCAGGCAGCAGATGTTAATAACTGTTAATAACAGTGCTTTAGTCTGCCGCGCCACCAGGCTCCAATTTATTTATTGGTTCGATTTATATATGCCGCCCTTCTCTGGAGACTCAGGACGGCTTACAATGCGTTAAGCAACAGCCTTCATACTTTTGTATATACCCGCTTAGTAGGGCTTTCGCCCCCCCCCCACGGTGTTCTTTTTTATACAAAGTCAGTTTATTTCCCCCACAATCCGGGTCCTCATTTTACCTACCTCGGAAGGATGGAAGGCTGAGTCAACCTTGAGCCTGGTGAGATTCGAACTCGCAGTAATTGCAGGCAGTTGGCAGCTAAGTGCTACTTAACAGCGCTTTAGTCCGCTGCGCCACCAAGGCTCTTTAATTCTAATAATTCCAACAGGGAAGCACCAAACTCAGAGGCGAGACGACACGGAGCAAACCCTCCACCCTCAGTCCATCCACATCCACCCTTCCTACAAGGCGGCCACCTTTGAGTACGACATCGCCGTGGTCAAACTCTCCGGAGAAGCAACGCTGAACAATTACGTCATGCCTATTTGCTTCCCAGATGGATCGCACCCAAAAGGTGAGGATAGGGGGTAGTCTGTCTGGCTGGCTGGCTGGGGAATTCTGGGAGTTGAAGTCCACGTCTCTCGTAAAGCGGCCACGTCTGAGAAATACTGGCCTAATCTTTGCAAATGGCTTATCGGTTATCTCGCAATCTTGTGAAGCAAGGTTGACATGTACTGTGGGGTCCTGGGTGCTGTCTGAATTTGGTGGTTTTCTTGCAAACGTTTCATGACCCAAATAGGTAACGTCATCTGTTGTGACTCCGACTCCCGAGCCCGTCCTCATAAAGGAAGAGGACTCAGAAGGTGAGGGGGAGGAACTGACAAGGCCTCCCTCTCCAGGACCCTCCTCTCTGGCAATGCCTCAGGTTCCATCTGAAGGCCAGGAGGAAGGCATTTCGGAGCACCCATTGATAGAGTGATAATGATGAATCCTGGCTTGATCCCAGGCAGCGTCGGAGAGAGAAGCGTGCGCAGCAAAGGAAGAGGCGTGGGAGGGCCAGGGATTGAGCTGAGTCACTGAGCCACGCCCCACAAGGGATAAAAGGGGGCGTGATTGCTCGGCAGGCTTTGTGACTGATAAAAGTTTAAACTCTAAAGAGTCACATTGTGAATCCTGCACTTCGGCTCAGATATATTTTGGACTAAACTCTTGTGGATAATTTGTCGCTCTGGAAACGGACTGCAGATAAGGCCTCTCCTGCTTTTTGGGAGTACTAATTGGACTGGGCAGGCGTTTTACACTTAGCTGCCAAGAACTCTCGTCTGCCAGGAATTCTGGTCTGTTTATACAATAAATTATTGGCAGGCGTGTACTGCATTTGTCTGTGTGAGGACGGGGGACAGAACAGTCATCAGTGCTAGAAGGGTTTGTGGAGGAGAGGAGGAGGAGGAGAACTGTGGGGTCCTTGGTGCTCTCTGAGTTTGGTGGTTTTCTTGCAAACGTTTCATGACCCAACTAGGTAACATCATCAGTGCTAGAAGGGAGGAGGGTTTGGGAGGAGGAGGAGAAAGAGGAGGAGGAGGAGGAGGAGGAGGAGGAGGAGGAGGAGGAGGAGGGGAACGGGGTCTGAGATTAGTGTCCCAAAGATGCTTTTTCAAGAGGCAACTGGACTTTCTTTCTTTTTTTCTTTTGAAGACATTTTGCTTCTCATCCAAGGAGCTTCTTCAGCTCTGACCGGATGGTGAGGAAGGGAAGGATTGATACTCCTTGCAGGCAGCTGGTCATTTGCATCCTTTTAGAAAGTCTTGGAGGTTTCTCTGTGCCCTCAGGGCCACCTGAGTGGTGCAAATGGTTCCTGTAGGTTCCTAAAAAGATGCAAATGACCAGCTTTGTCTGTAAGGAATATCAATCCTTCCTTTCCCCACCATCCCGTCATGAGCTGAAGAAGCTTCTTGTCTGAGAAGTGAAATGTCTTTAAAAGAAAAAACAAGAAAGTCGAGTTGCCTCTTGAAAAAAAAAAGCACTTTTGGGGCAACCATGACCTGGAGGATTGAGAATCTCTACAGACTCCGAGCTGGGTGGTTTCCTTGGAGACGTTTCATGATCCAAATAGGTAACCTCATCAGGGCTAGAAGGGAGAAGGGTTTGTGAAGAGGAGGAGGAGGAGGAGGAGGAGGAGGAGGAGGAGGAGGAGGAGGAGGAGAACTGTAGGGCCCTTGGTGCTGCTTGGTTGTTTTCTTGCAGACGTTAAACGACCCAACTATGGAACATCATCAGTACTAGAAGGGAAAGGGGGTTGCTCCCTGTTTATGCACAATAGCAAATAGAGCAAATCTTACTGCCATCTATCACAGATGATGTTACCTAGTTGGGTCATGAAATGTCTGCAAGGAAACCACCAAGCTCAGGGAGCACCAAGGACCAAGGATGGGTGGATGGATGGATGGAGATTAGATTATTGTGATCACGTGATCCTCTTTTGTGACCTTCCGACAAGGAAAGTCAAGGGGGAAGCCAGATTCACTTAACGACCATGTTACTAACAACTCCAATTTAAGGACAGACGACAACTGAGGCAATTTGCAGGGAACAACTTCGTTCACTCTCCTTCGCGTCCGGATCTTAGTTCTCTTATCCGTTTCCTGCAAATTGCTTCTGGGCATTCTGCCAATCCTAGTAAGATTACGATTATTCTTTGGATTCTTGTAGACCCATGATGGCGAACTTGTGGCACACGGGGCCATATCTGTTGGCACACGAGCGTTACCCTAGCTCAGCTCCAGCGCATATTCACGCGCTGGCCAGCTGATTTTCGAGCCCACCGGAAGTCAGGAAACTGGCCGTTTCCAGCCTCCAGGGGGTGGGGAAGGCTGTTTATGCCCTCCCCAGGTTCCTAGAAAGCCTCTGGAGCCTGGGGAGGGTGAAAAATGGGCCTTCCGGTCCCACCAGAAGTCAGGAAATGGGCCATTTCCGGCTTCCGGAAGGCCTCTGGCGGGTGGGGAAGGCCATTTTCACCCTCCCCAGGCTCCAAGAAAGCCTCTCGAGCCTGGGGAGGGCAAAAAACAGGCCTAACGTGCCCACCGTGCCATCGCGTGCCAAAAGCAGGGAGAGGGTACATTGAATTATGGATGTGGGCACGCATGTACGTGACCGGCCTGTGCTCCTCCTGCTTTTGGCACACGACGGCAAAAAGGTTAGCCATCACTGTTGTAGGCTGTTAAGAAAGTTAATTAACAGCCTTTGTTTGAAAAAGACTGGTTTAATTTAGTAAACTAAGGTTTGTACAGACTTTGTGTGTGTGCTGCGTTCTTCGGGGGTCTGTAGCTGGGGCAGAACAGATTCCCTTAGCAACTGTAGCAAGGAAGGTCGTAAGATGGGGCAAAGCTCACTTAACGAGTGTCTCGCTTAGCGATGGAAATGTTGGCCTCCATCGTGGTCGTAAATCGAGGACTGCCTGTTGTCATACCTCTTGTCTCTTTGCCTTCCCCCCAGGTGCCATGGTCATCGTCAGCGGATGGGGGAAACAGTTGCTGCAACGCCTCCCAGACGCCTTGATGGAGGTGACGTAGCCGCTCACATCGATCTTACGATCTATCGATCGATTTATTGATCTCTCAGTGGGAGGGAGAGGGATCCTCCCACCCCCCGGGACTCGCTCCTCAATATCCTTCCTTGATAATCACCCTTTGCCCTGATCTGGGGTCTCCAAGGTTGTTAGGATTGATCTCTACTTGGGGAAGGAGAGGCTCTTTGAGGCATCAGCCAAGGCAACGGGGGTCTCCCCACCCCTTCAAACCGCCATCCCCAACCTGGCGCTCTTTTGTTTTGTTTTGTTTTGTTTTTTAAATCATTTTTATTGAACATTTTTTTTAATACGAGCAAACAAACAAATAAATAAACCTATAAACAAAACAAGCAAACAAACAAACAAAAATAGATATTTACATCTTCTTCTTTTCAACATCTTCGCATCAGTAATCTGTATTTATACACTTTCTCTTTCTTATCTTAATCTATCTCTTATACATATATTCCTAGTAAATCATATATTTATATTCTCTTAATCTAAATATTTTATTTAATTTTAACATAAACATAAACATTTAACATAAACATAAACAGGTACCTATCCACAATGTATATCTTCCCATTTATTTCCATATTTCTCCACCTAATTTAACCATTGTTTTCTTTTGTTCCTTTTTTATTCCCCTTTCTTCTCCAAACATTTATACCATTTCTCCCAGACTAAGTAATAACCCGTTTCATCTTTTTCTTGTATCTCTTTTGTGAGCTTATCCATTTCCGCACATTCCATAATTTTTCTAATCACCTTGTCTTCTGATGGTATGTCATTGTTTTTCCAGTTTGGGGCGAAAACTATTCGTGCTGCTGTCAATATGTGAATAATTAAGTATCTTATTTCTTTTTCATATGGCCCGGTAATTATTCCCAAATAAGAAAGTTTCTGGCCTCATTTCTATTTGTTGATTTATAATTTCTTCTATTTGTATTTTAATTGTTTGCCAAAATTGTTTTGCCTTCTGACAGGACCACCACATGTGATAATAAGTTCCTTTTTTGATGTTTACATTTCTAACATAGTGGGGAAGTATTTGGAAACATCTTTGCCAATCTGGCAATCTGGAGATGCCACCTATAAAATATTTTATACATATTCTCTTTAGAAGGTACAGACATTGTAACCTGGCGCTCTTTTGATGCGGGATCCAGGATGTGGAAATCCCAGCGTAAAGTGAAAATAACCACATTTGGAAATTGTTGAGAACAGCATGTCGATGAAGATTGTCAATCATCCAGGCAAAGCTGTTGGAAGGTTGAATGAAGGTTGAATGATGGCAATTGAACGAATGTTTTGCTGGACTCATTTCATCAGTCAGAACAAGCCAGTTAGACTTTCAAGGCTGACTCGTAAACACACCTCTACTCGTCTCTGGAAATTCTCCATCATCCAGGTCATGGTTGTCCCAAAGGTGCTTTTTCAAGAGGCAACTGGACTTTCTGGTTTTTTCTTTGAAGACGTTTCGCTTCTCATCCAAGAAGCTTCTTCAGCTCTGACTGGATGGTTGGGGAATGGAAGGATCAAAGAAAAACTAAAAAGTCCAGTTGCCTCTTGAAAAAGCACCTTTGGTGCATGACCTGGATGACCGAGAATCTCCATAACATTTCTGACAGATGGCAGTCCAGTCTCTTCTTGAAAGCCTCCAGTGATGAAGCTCCCACAACTTCCGAAGGCAACTTCTGTTCCATGGGTTGATTGTTCTCACGGTCAGAAAAATTCCTCCTTATTTCCAGGTTGAATCTCTCCTTGTTCTGTTTCTATCCATTATTCCTTCTCTGGCCTTCGGGTGCTTTGGAGAATAGCTTGACCCCCTCCCTCCTCTCTGTGGCAGCCCCTCAAATATTGGAAGATGCTCTCCTGTCTCCCCTGGTCCTTCTCTTCACTAGACCAGCCAGGCCCAGTTCCTGCAACCGTTCATCGTATGTTTTAGTCTCCAGTTCCCTAAATCCTCTTAGTTGCTCTTCTCTGCACTTTTTCTAGAGTCTCCACATTTTTTTTATAGTGTGGTGGCCAAAACTGGATGCAGGATTCTAGGTGTGGCCTTACTAGGGCTTTATAGAGTGGTATTAGTACTTCCCTTGATCTTGAGTGTATCCCTCTACTTATGCAATTTAAGATTGCGTTGGCTTTTTTGGCTACCGCCACACACTGCTGGCTCATATTTAGTTGATTGTCCACTTCTTCTGTCTGTACCTATATGGATCTATCAGAAAAATTATACTCTTGGTAAAATATATATATATATATATATATATATCCCAGGAGTTTTTTACTTTTACTGCATGTGCCAACAGAGAGCGGAAGGGCAGCGAAACATCTCTCAAACTAACAACAAAGTTAGTCCAGTTCCCACATTTCAACCTTCAGACAGTTTTACCTGGATGACTGAGAATCTTCATTGACATGATGCAATTTATTTTGGGGAACAAACCCCTGAGATTAGTATAGCAGGAGTTGCTACCTTTTCCAGCAACTCTCTCCCTAACTGGCTTGCTCAGAGTGATGAAGCTGCTTGGATCAGCCTCGAGCTCACAAAAAAATTGTCCAGTTGTACATGCAGACCAAAACAGATTTTGATCAAAAAGACAAATTAACGACAATATGAGGATGATTTTTGAACACTTTGGAGTATTATGAGAATCATCCAGAATAACAGATGGCGTTGATGTTTTCGGATGCCCAAAAGGCCTTTGATAATGTGAGTTGGCAGTTCATGATAAAACAACTACAGAGAATGGATTTTGGGCAGAGATTCATAAATATTATAAAAGCAATATATAATGGACAATTCGCTAAGATAACGATAAATGGGGATATGACCGAAAAGATCGAAAAGCATAATGAAAGGTAGTAGACAAGGATGTCCCTTTTCGCCATTGTTGTTTATCTTGACCTTAGAAGTTTTAAATAGAAATATTAGACGAGATGAAGAGATAAAAGGGATGAAAGTTTGAAAAGAAGAACCTTCAGACAACTTCAGGCCAAACTGGAGCACCTTAAGAAGTGTGGACTTCAGCGTTAATTTGTCCATTTCTGCGCAATTCATGACCTTTTGTATGACAAGTTTCTCTGTGGGTGTTTCCATCATTGAGCGAAGGCAATTGTCAGCGCCTCAGTGCTGGCATAGAGAGGAGAGAGATAAGCTCTGAACTTTTGCCTGCTAAATCCCTTTGAAGCTGGGTTGTCGTGGAAATGAGGAGGGGGGAGACATTCCTGGGAAATGACGAGACAAGAAGTCTGGAGAATGACTTGGAAGATAGCCAATGAGAAGCAGAGATTTGGGGATCGGAAAGGGAGGGATTAGGGGGAAAAGGTTAGTCTTGTCCGCATCAAGTCATGATCCGGTGGCTGTGCTCAATTAAAGAAAAGATTTCCTTAAAGATTGGCAGTTGGAAATTCATTTATTTTGAGATAGCATCGAAGTTTGACAGCAATCCTGTGTAGTACTAGATATTTGTAGTACTAGTTATTTCGTGCCCTTCACATATATATTTTTTTGGGGGAAGATCCCAAATAGAAAGAGTTCCGGTTCTAAATCTAATTGTTCGTTAGTAATTTCCTGTAGCCAATCTTTAATTTACGCTGAGTTTAAAAGATAAAGAGGCATCGATATTTTACAATGTGTGGGAAGAGTGGTATAACTGGATAGAACGGAGAAAGATTAAAGATAGATAGTTATTAAGTGTAAGTAATAGATAAAATAAGAATGTAAATACGCACAATTTAATTTTTGTAAATAACGCACGAATTGCTGTCACAAGAAAAACCACCACAAATAGCTGTTATTGAGTGATATGATGTTTTATGTTTTTAATGTAATAAAAGTTTAATAAAGTGTTTTTTTAAAAAAAGAAGAAGAAGTGTGGACTTCAACGCCCAGAATTCCCCACAAAATCAGCTGTTGGTTCTGTTTTTTTGTCCCGCAGATTGAAATCCCTCTGATCGACCACGAAGTGTGCAAGGAAGCCTACTCCAAGCTGCAGAAAATCATCACGACGGATATGATTTGTGCCGGAGAGGAAGAAGGTAAATGGATGGGGGGGGGAAAGGGGTTACCCCCCCAGAATCACATGAGGTCCCCCGGCATCTTTTTTTTTTTTTAATTTGATTTATATGCCGCCCTTCTCCGGAGACTCAGGGCGGCTTACAATGCGCTAAGCAATAGCCTTCATCCTTTTGTATATTCATACAAAGTCAGCTTATTGCCCCCACAAACTGGGTCCTCAATTTATCTACCTTAGAAAGGATGGAAGGCTGAGTCGACCTTGAGCCTGGCGAGATTCGAACCTGCAGAAATTGCAGGCATCTGGTCTTAATAACCAGCTTAATAACAGGGTGCCTTAGACCACTGTACTACCAAGGCTCTTTTGATCCATCTCTATTTGATGGGTCCTAGAGAGACCCAGACTCTGGGTCAGAGCAAAGAGCTGGTAGGATACAGGGAGTCCTTGATTTACAGCCGTTTGTTTAGTGACTGTTCGAAGTTACAACCGCACTGAAAAAAGTGATTTATGACCGTTTATCACACTTACGACCCTTGCTGTCTCCCCATGGTCACATGATCAGAATTTGGACCCTGGGCAACTGGCTCGTATTTAACCCTCTTTCTCTCTCTCTCTCTCTCTCTCAGGGGGAAAAGACTCTTGCAGTGGGGACTCGGGGGGTCCCATGGTGGCTTGGAGCAACCGGACTGGCCAATGGCAACTCCTGGGATCCGTGTCGTGGGGCGACGGATGCGGCTTGCAAAACCGCTATGGGGTCTATTCAAACGTCCTCTTGTCCGTCCCTTGGATAAGGAAAGTGGCCCAGATGCAAGGCTGAAGCCTCACCTTTGAAGAGCTTTCTTCCTTCCTTCCTTCCTTCCTTCCTTCCTTCCTTCCTTCCTTCCTTCCTTCCTTCCTTCTTTCCTTCCTTCCTTCCTTCCTTCCTTCCTTCTTTCCTTCCTTCCTCCCTTCCTTCCTTTTCTTCCTTTCCTTCCTTCCTCCCTTCCCTCCCTCTCCCTCTCTGCTTTTCTTCCTTCCTTCTTCCTCATTCCCATCTCTTTCCTACCTCCCTCCCTCCCTCCCTTCTTTCTCCCTCACCTTCCTTTCTCCCTCCTGTTTTCCTTCCTTCCCTTCCTTTTCTTCCTCCCTCCCTTCCTCTCATTCCCATATCCTTCCTTCCTTCCTTTTCTTTCTTCCTTTCTTCCTTCCCTCCTTCTTTCCCTCTCCCCCTCCCTCTCTCTCTGCTTTCCTCCCTTCCTCTCCCTTCCTTCCTTCCCTCCCTTTCCCTCTTTCTCTGCTTTTCTTCCTTCCTTCTTTCCTACTTCTTCTCATTCCCATCTCTTTCCTATCTCTCTCTCTCCCTCCCTCCCTTCCTTCTCCCTCTTACCTTCCTTTCTCCCACTCCCATTCCCTCCTTTGTTTTCCTTCTTTCCTTTCCTTCCTTCTTTTCTTCCTCCCTTCCTTCCTTCCCTTTTTTTCTTCCTTCCTTCCCTCCCTCTCCCTCTCTGTTTTTCTTCCTTCCTTCCTCCTTCTTCTCATTCCCATCTCTTTCCTACCTCCCTCCCTCTCTCCCTTCCTTCTCCCTCTCATCTTCCTTTCTCCCATTCCCTCCTTTGTTTTCTTTCTTTCCTTCCCTTCCTTCTTTTCTTCCTCTCTTCCTTCCTTTCCTTTCTTTTTCTTTCTTTCTTCCTTCCTTCCCTCCCTCTCTCCCTCTCCCCCTCCCTCTCTCTGCTTTCCTCCCTTCCTCTCCCTTCCTTCCTTCCCTCCCTCTCCCTCTCTGTTTTTCTTCCTTCCTTCCTCCTTCTTCTCATTCCCATCTCTTTCCTATCTCCCTCTCTCCCTCCCTCCCTTCTTTCTCCCTCCCACCTTCCTTTCTCCTATTCCCTCCTTTGTTTTCCTTCCTTCCTTCCCTTCCTTCTTTTCTTCCTCCCTCCCTTCCTCTCATTCCCATATCCTTTCTTTCTTCCTTTCCCCTTCCTTCCTTCATCTCTTCTTCCTCTCTTCCTTTCTTCCTCTCTCTGGGATGTCAAGAAGATCTGATCCAAGCCAGGATCCGGCTGTCCCAAACTCAGAACCAAGGACACAAAGCTAAACCGATTTAAGGGTAGAAATGTGAATTTTTAAATAAAAACCACAGGACGTCTTCAGCCACGGCTCATCCTTGGGGAAGGACGGAATAATCAGGACCCAAGAAAAATCTCAGGAAAAATATATTCCTGGGGGCTTGTGAGCCCCCAGCTGGGCCCATGAAAGACTTGGGACTTGGTCACGAAACTGGTTACCAGTCAGAAGCCGTCAACATCTCAGATTGACAGGCTGACACCTCCGAAGATGATGAAGTGTTGCCATTCACTTTTCCGAGCCTCCCTTTGGATTCCAACCTCCAGAAATCCCAAAAATCCTTGGAACGTCCCACATACCTGGGAGACATTATACAGGTAGTCCTTGACTTACAACAGTTCATTTAGTGACCATTCAAAGTCACTAAATGGGACTGAAAAAAGTGACTTAGGGGCGTTTTTCACACTTGTGACGGTTGCAGCGTCCCCGTAGTCACGTGGATTTACATCCGGATACTTGGCAAGTGACTCACATTTATGACCCCCCGGGGATCACGCAATCCCCTTTTGCGACCTTCCCAACGGGCAGCGTCAATGGAGAAACCGGATTCACTTAACAACCGTGTCACTAATTTAACAACGGCAGAGATTCGCTTAACAAACGTGGCGAGAAAAGTCGTAAAGTGGGGCAAAACTCGAATTTCTCACTTAGCAACATAAATGTTGGGCTCCGTCGTGGTCGTAAGTTGAGGACTACCTGCGTTGGGAAAAGCCAAACCAGACAGCAGTCTGTGTTCACGCACAATATACTGTATGTGATCTGGGGTTTTTTTTGAATAAACACATTTTTCTGAGTTAGCCATGTAGACTGAGCTATAGACTAACCCAAAGGGTTGAGTTCACACAAAATGTTAAGCCCAAACCTCATGCACAGTCCAAGCTTCAAGCCAACCAGGTTCGAAACATGGTGCAAATGCAGCCTTGTAGTGTTGGGCCCGCTGGCAGCAGACTCGGACGATGAGGAGGTTGGGGAGGAACTTGGGCCAGTTCTGGAGTCTGGGGAAGGCTCTGATGGACACTCTGCATCGGAAGCTGTTGTGGCTCCGTTACCTGAGCCTGTGTCATCGGCAGGAGAGGACTCCAAGAGTGAAGGAGAAGAGTTGGCATGCCTCCCTCTCCAGGACCCTCCTCTCTGGCAATGCCTCTGGTGTCCGCTGAAGGGCAAGAGATCGGGCCGGGGCCAAGCACGTCCACGCAGCCACAGATGGACAGTGATGAGGGAGATGAGTCTTGGCTGGATCCACGCCAGCATCACAGAGATAAGCACACACAACAGAAGAAAAGGCGTGCCCGAGGTTAGGCTGAGTCACTGGACCACACCCCACAGGATATAAAAGGGAGCGTGGTGGCCAGTCAAACCTTGTGACGAACAAAGCTGAAAGCTTCCACGCCATTCTGCATTGCCGGACTTTTTGCTATAGACTTTGCTGGATTATCTCTGGACTTGATTGACTCCGTAATTATTGAGCTGTTTCTTTTGATGTACCAGAAGCGGGGAGAAGTTATCTCTCCTCTTCGTAAGTAATAAACTCTTGGCAGGCAGCCACTAGGTGTTTGCCAAGTTCTGTTATCATAAGGAAAAGGATTTTGCCGGCTGGTTTGGTCTTTAACTCTTGAACGTCTGTTGGTGTGTGTGCGTGTGGGACGGGACAGAACAGAAGCAGAGATGGAGCCGGGGCCGTCCGATATTTCCCAGCCACTGGAGAGGCAGCTGCGTTTGTAGGCTGAGATAGGTGAGGAGGAGGAAGAACAGCTGGGGCCTGTTCCAGATGCACCTATGTGCAGAGCAGTTAGGAGAGGAGAACAACGGAGGACAAGGAGTCGATTTGGGAAGCAAAGCACACGTGGATGCTGAATGGCCCCTCTCTGGATGGGGAACCGAAGACCAACTGGCCGGTGCACATGCCTGTTTTTTTGGGCATTTTTTTGACTG